TAAGGAATTCTTATTATTCTGAAGGAAACGCGAATTACTTGTAATGCATTAAGTGACCATCTCCCTATTAAAAACTTAGAATTACGGCTAATCAAATCTCATTATTTTCTTCTTAAAAGACTTCTTAGTTTGATATACATTTATCATAACATCTGCAATTCCCAATACTTTTTCGGAGCTTTAAATTCATAAAATTGCTATGAGTAGGGAAAATTTATTTACTGGAAGGCTATCTTAGTTAATCTTAATGCTATTTGGTTAATTATTATTTATTAGAGTGTTAAAATGCAAACCTTATTTTTGTAGCAATAGAAATTAAGTAATTTAAAGAAAGTAACTTACATTTTACGATATCTTTAGCTTAATTTCAAAAAAGAGCAAAAATTATGATTTTCATATTTAAGCAAAAAGGTGTAGGGTGGGCCTAAGAGTTCTTAAAAGAGGAAATCTACATTAACCAAAAATGGCCAATTGTACGGGATGTTCATACTTTTTAAAACGTTGGTGAAATAATTAGAGAAAAAAGAGAAAGTATCGACACGAAAAGTTCCCTCTTCAGAATGCTCTTACCGCTATTTTTTAAGTAAAAGCTGAAAATGAATTTGTAATTTACCTTTAGTTCGCCTAATAGGTCTAGCTAAGTTACATTATCGAAATAGATAAGTTACACGATTGAAATTCCCATTTTTGGATATATATATATATATAGAGAGAGAGAGAGAGAGAGAGATACATACATACATACATACATAGATGGATTTATAAAGCGATTTTAATTCGGCTTATGTATGGGTTTTCAATACTGGCTGAATTTTTGCCGTGAAATCTTACCTCTCGTTTATAGCCAAAAATATATGTTATACACTTTTAAGCTAATATATACAAAGGGATTCTTTTGAACCCAGTGCTGGACCTTTTGACAAAGAAATTAATATTTACAGAAATATTTTAAAAATGGAAACTAATGTTCAAATATCCTTCAAATTTATTAGCTAGAAGTATTTAAAGGAAGATGGAAGATAATCTACGGCGTATGAAAGGTAAAATATGTTCTCTCTCTCCTTAAAAAAAAGTGTTTAAATTCATAAAAACTGAGCAACTAATACGTGTTATTCTCAATCTAACAAGTGGTTAGACAAGGTCGGAAGGGAAAAGCAAAAGAGGATGATTCTCGAAAGACAGATAAAAACGGAGCAATTGCAGGCCATATCTTAAAGCTTCGCACGTAATTTCATAGGCTATAAAAATTATTCAAATTATACATAATGTTATTGCCTCAGAGGCGCACGCTCCCTCTTTTTAAATGGTCCAGCATTTGGGTAATGATCCGCGTTTTCGTCCTTCCACTTCAGTCCGATTGTAAATTTTTTAACCGGGATGTTATTAAAAAATAAATAAGAAGGCATTTCTTTCTCTCAGCATAGCCAATTCTTTGTTTGGTGTACGAATTACACAATGAATACAGATAGGCGTAAACACTGTTTTGTATTCCTCTCATTGAATTCAACGCAGGTGCAACTCGCAACAGTTTAAAGAAAAGAATCAAAACAATTGGCCCTCAATCACTGCGGATGTCCTTTTTTACGAATGTTGTAACATCTTTGGCTCTATTACATTCCCAGTTATTCACTGCCATTGGCTCATTGCATATTCTAGACATTACTAGCAACTTTAATGCATTTTACCATAAATTCAAACTACACCATTCTGAATGTACACAGTGTCTATAAAAGTTCTTTTCAAGCTTTTATTTTCCAACTGTTTGTTGCAGATGTAGACTTCCATTTGAAAAAAAAATCTTTAAATAATGAAAATATTCACGTTATGGCATTTTCAAATTAAGAATATTTGATGTGGACTAATAATTTCCTTGTGAGGCCAATTAAATTATGTACACTTTTAACTGCACTTCATGTAAGCTTATTTCCTCGAATTTCATTAGAGATATATTTCTCATTCAATCATTCCAGTTCTCAATTCGCGAAATCCTATACATACGACATAAAAACTCATAACATCTTCATTAAAAATTGTAAAATACAAAAAACTAAAACACCAAAGAAAATTATCATTTTTTTTTTTTTTCTTACAATTAAAATCAGTTTCTACGTCAAAACAAGCAGTTCGGCCAGTGGTCAGAAGGACCAAATTTACGCTGCACAAAATTGAAAGAACTTTTGTCCCCACTGGGCTAAAAGACACTGAAGTAGGTGCACTAACTAACTTGATTCACTATTTTACTAAGAATTTCAAATGTAAACAAATAGCGGTCTCTTTAGGCCTAACGGCACCAAAACTTTTAAATTGGTGATAATGTTCTAACTATTGCATGCAGATTAAATAAAGACATGAAAACCTTAACCGGAACATAAGAACAACATAATTCAACAACTTTTAAAGCAAAAAATGCACAATTTATCAATATATAAGAATAAAAATACTGAACTCACTAAGCCGGGTAACAGGATGGGAATATATATGCTCGGTGTTGCCGATTTCAACGAGAACATGAGGTACACACCTAGATTTTATATCCGTACCATATACAAGATTTCAACGTTCTACAGCTATTCGTTTTTTAGCTACGCAAGACACATACGTCAAGAAAAAAAAATCTCTTCCGAGTCCATTTTACATCCATTTTATCATCCATTTAAAAAAATTGCCTTATTCTATCCGTACGTACAGATGTAACAAAAAAAAAAAAAAAAAAAAAAAAAATCGTTTAAAGGAATTCGAGAGTGGTCAAATGGATATTTTCGTTGAAATAGCTTTCGTTGAAGGCCATGTTGCTAGTTTCAGACAACTCATTAGACAAACTCCTGAGAGTAATATTCTGCGGCGTTCCGTTATTCCGTTATTATTTAGAATTTTAGCCAAATAAACAATTTTTTTGCTACATAGCAAAATAGCTTAGAAACAAATCTTACATTATTTAAGAACATACTCAGACAGTCACTCCCAAAACAGTCAAGTTAGGCAACGGAAATAAAGTTGGTTAAAAACTGGCCAACTGCCAGATTGCTCATATAACTTTTAAGCAGATCCTATTATTGGAATCTCAAGACCTTATTGGTTCTATCTCACGTGGACCTAAATTTGCTTACGTTCGAACTCTCTGGAATATATAACAAGAAAAAAAGTGCCAATCTGCAGTAGGAAGACTTAATGAAAGTTATGGTTTCAAATCAAACAAGAAGCAAGAAATTCATGTTAACTGAGATAATGGAAATTTTTTTTTTTAAATAAAGAAGACGTTTAAGGAGAAGAAAGAGCAAATGAAAAATAAGCTACTAATGATAACCGCATCCGTAATAACTCCAAAAGTTTTAAAGGCCCACCAGCGGCCGAGCGGTAAAGTCGCTGAACACTGGTAGTTGAGTGCGAGGTTCGAATCTCGCGAACGGGCTGGCTGCATGGGTGTTTTCGTGTTTTTGCCCATGTGTAACGTGTATACGAGCCAGTTCCCCTTAGAAAGTCCTCCACGAAGGCATCCCTTCCCTTAGGCAGATAGCCCTCGAGGCTTTGCCATAATCACACACACACACCAAAAGTTTTAATCAATTTTTTTTTTCACTGACATGACGTTTATTATCTATATTCATTCTTAAAGATTCAAAAATTATATCAGAAAATATTATTATGCATATTGCATACCATTTTGTATGCATTTCGTTTTCTTTTTATTTTGCCAATTTTAAGCTCTTGCATTTGTTATAAATTATTTATCAAAATATGAAAACATAAAATTTCGAGTCTATACGTTCAATTCTTTTACAGAATTATTATTTAAATAGTGTACTTTATTGTAGTATGTGATGTAAACAGTTTGATATCATGGACCTTATAAGAGATAGACTAACCTAGTGGGCGGGGCGCGCGTCATCGACATGTCCGCAAGAAAGAGTAGGGACGATTTGGTTTACTTTAACACTGAAACCTATGGCGTTTGTATCACATAACTGTTTTTAATTATTAAATGTGATATATTGTATAGTAATGAGATTATGAAAGTCACAGTTTTTTCAAATAGGATTTAATACATCTCATTAAAGCACGTTTTACTGCATTTCGCGCATTTTTTTTTTTCATGCGTAATTCTTGTACAAACATCTTTACTCTGATAAAACGGTAAAAACTCTAAGGACAAAATTTATGAACTTAATTTTGCGTAAAAATAAAGTAAAATTAAATAAGATTGATAGTACGTGATGCTTTGAAATAAATAAGGTAAAATTAAACAAGATCTGATAATTTTTTTTTTAATTTAATGAACATTTTCAGGCAGTGAATTTCAAAACTATAATAACATTACAAAACGATTATTTATTTGATTATATCATCATTAAATTATTAACATTAAAGTGAATTATTTATTTTAGTAATTTATAAAATTCGGAGCATAAAATTTTCTAAGTGCAATGAAGGGAAAATAAAGAGATAAAATAAAATCCAGAAGCGCTCAGATTATATATTATGCCCAAAAGTAACCTTTTTTTTAACGTTTTGTGTGTTACCTATATTTATTGAATATGATGTTCTTCGCCCGTAAACTACATTTGAAACATAGCCTGTAACATTTGAAAAGAGCATATCTTTAGAAATCCCGCACTGGAGATAAAAATATTATTTTCCGTACAGTGCTACCATTGCTCGCTTTAAAATCGTTGAAATTGTTAATAAAAAAATCCGTTAAAGTTTTACAAAATATGAAATAGATAATACGGTTAAACAGAATTTTAATATTAGTATTAAATGTATAAAAATTAAGGAGTCAAATGTGTTTATCACTATGATGTATTTTGAAATATAATTGAAATAAAATTCCTTTATAGAACTCATCTATAATTTTAAAAAAAGCAGCACAATTTAGAATTTTAAACAAAACTTTCAAAAATTATTTTTTAAATATTTTAGTATTTTTTACCAATAAAAAGCACAAAAATTGCTTGTTTGAAATTTTCTATTAGTTCGGATTAAAAATATTATTTTCTAAAAGAATTAGTTACAAATTTCCTTACAGCATAGGAAAAGCTAAAAAAAAATCCAGCCCTGAAAGCATGCAATAGTCTATATAATTCTTTGTAACGCTAATTACGCTTCATAAATATCTTAAACACTTAAAAATAAATCTCAGTTTCAAAAATTAAAATATGGAGAAATTTTAATTTGTGAAATGAGGCGCTACAACCAGCTTTTTCTTGACAATTTATTATAAAATAATAAGCAACATTGCTTGTTAACCAAGCTTGTTAAATTTCTGCAAGTCGTCCCTACTCCTCCGGATGTGATCAAGGTGACAGCCGGCAACGCCTCAGACGAAAGGGAAAACCCGTTTGGGTTAGTCTATTTCTTATAAGGTCCATGTTTGATATATGCGCAGTACGTAATTAAAAAGTAGACAGCATCCTCGCTTCGTATCCCCTCTTTCAGTTTTCCGCATTGTTTAAAAACTGATTAAAGATCACAACATTGTAAAATTGTTTTTACAATGACACATTATTTTAAATATGCAGAATTTTGCACAAATTCACCCGAATGAAAAACAAAAAAGTCGCTATAAAAATTTGAAATAAATAACTTCCTTCGTTAAAAATACTAATTATTTTTCACAAAAATTTGAAAACTTTTGAAAAACATAATTTTACATATCACTAATAAAAGAACTTAAACAACATAGCAAACACTGGTTTCTATTCATAAACTTACTTAAAAATGAATTGCTTAGCTATAATACTATTTCTGTATTGCAAATGACATACCAACAATAATGGCTTCAGTACAATGTCCGAGATCAGGAACTGTCGGGACTTCGGCGGTTCCGGATATGGAAAATTCCGGATTTAAAATGGTCTTCACTTCTGGAATCTAATAAAATGACACGCAGACGTGTCAACATAGTTGCTTCGCTTATTGTTTATGCGAGACAGAAGAATGCTAACCCCCAACAAAACCAGAGCCAGTGCGTCTGCACTGGGGGGGGGAGGCAATTTTTTTTTTAAATTTAGATGAGCACCGAGCAGCAAAAACTAGGCATGGCAAAATTTTTAGAGCTTAGGAAGGTATCTGTCTGCAGGATTTAGGACCCATATTTACGATTAGGAATTTAAAATTGCACGGAAAGGCAAATACTAAATGCATGCGAAGGCCCTGCCCCTCCTCCCCACAACCACTGAAGCTTCGAAACAGTAATCCGGCCCAAAGACAACACAACGCCAATCAGTGGATTGTTCTGTGCGATTCCCTCCCTAGCTAGCAGCGTTTTGGAAGTTAGACGCAGGAGTCTCAGTCGGAAGAAAGATCCAACTTGCTTCTCTTTGCTGAGCATTACGTTCTCCATTTCTCGATTTTATAAGCGTAGAGAGTTTTCTTATTTACTTATTTTTTAGGTGATGGTCAGGAGATTGGGATACTAAACTATTCCAGATACTGAAAGTCCGGATTTCGAATTTTGTACTGTATATGAATCTCATTGGGTGAAATCTGTACTACACACTACACATTTAAAACATAAGAATGGAAAAGAAATCACAGTAATGCGTAGATAACACATGTAGACATAAGAAAAATAATTCTTGAATAAATGAAAGCAACGAAAAAAAAAAACTGGGCTATTATTTTGCAGAAAAGATAACAAAATATAGGCATCATGTGAACAGTTTTTAGTTTTAATATCTTAATTTTGAACAAACAGTTTAACAAGTTGTGAAATTAATAGCATAAAGATAAGAGAAGTAAGGGGAAAATAAAATAGATACATAACAATGAAATAATTAAACGAACAACAGTTGTTGGATTAAAACATGAATGTTCTAATGATGCTTAAGGGTCGGCCGTTTAATCTCATAAAACAACATAAAAATTAGAAAGTGGTAAAAATTCTTTTGTATGCGATTAAAAATTAAAACAAATAGTACTAGCCTTTAAGACGGCACTGAACTCAGATTCAGAATTCTTAGCACTTTCTAATCTTTACTCATGTTGAAAGCTGTAGTATATGAAGATTTGTAAAAAAGCAAACATTCCGCGAATAAAGCGAAATAAATTATATTAAACATAAGCTTAAATAATATTTTTCTAATCTCACAAAAGACCACCGAATTAAATAATTAATTCAGCACTGGTCAATAATTCGGAAGAAATCAAATCTTGCGCGTTGAAAAACCCTGTATATCAAAAGTTCTGTATCACTACAGGGTAGAACATTTTTCGGCCAATTGGTTCAGTTTATCAGTGCACCCAAAAATGCATCCGATTGTCCGACGAAACATCCAGGCCTGGTTTCATTCTCAAAAAATAATGGACATTCTTGAAGTAATAATAATAATAATAATAACAAGGTATGAAACGTGACAGACTATAAAATCAAAATGCATAATAAAAGCAAATGTTATTTTATTTACATCAGATGCTGATATCACAAGGAAGTTGAGGAAAAAGCAGCACTTGAAATAAGCTTTTTGGATAAAATTTGATTTTTAGGGGCGTGCTTAATTCTGTTGAAGCGGAGGCAGAAGTTCAAGATACTTGTGGGTGAATTATGTTCGTTACAGATGGATCTTAGCTAAAAAAAAAGCTGAAAAGCCCCTTGCCTGAAATATTACTTTGCTACATATGTCGAGAACACCTTTGACACTGAAATAAGATATAAAGTTGCTTATTTTTTAATTTTTTTTAATCACAGTGGCAGAAAACAAAGACCGGTAGTTATAACTAGCTGCATTTAGTTGGAAATCGGGCAATCTGAACTGCAAGGCACTTATCACAAAATGTCATGGTTGGGTTGGCCTGTATAACCACGTCCGGGACATGAAGATACGCGGAAGAAAACAAAAAAACAAAAAAAAAAAAAAAAAAAAAAAAAAATTCAGAAGTCTTTTATATATACAGGCTGTGTATCACGACTGGGACTAAAGAAATTTCTTCTTATTTTTATCCTAATTATATATAATATATTTATATAATATATATAATATTTATAAATATTCTGTTTTGTGCCTAATCCACTTAGCTGAGTCCATTGACAGTGTTCACCTGACTGCAAGCAAGCATTAGAATGTCTCTCTTCTCTTTGGGAAACCTTAATTCTCGACCAGCCAATCGAGCAGCCTCTAATTCTCTTTCTGCACTGGCCAGTTCTCTGGAGATGACCCCGGGAGATTCCTGCTCCCTAGCGATCCAGTCGAGGGCCATTTGAGACCTCATGTCATCATCTAAAGCGCGATGAGAATAATGAGCCACTACTTCTTGGCGCGAACACTGGCGTTCTCGCATAGCTTTTAGACTGCCATTCCAGTGCAGGAGCTGAAAGACTGTCATGAGCTCTTGGAACTCCAGCATGGTGCGGCCTTTGTTCGATTCCAACATGAACCTGAAGGCGTCGATTCCGCTATGAGATCGATCCGTGTCATCTGGGTTCGTAGGGAGCTGCAAAAGTAATGAAAAATATTGTCATAAATAAAAATCGCAGTTTAATTCACAACACGTTTCACATGCATAGGGGACGCGGAGCCAACTGATACATTACAAATGGTGATAGAAAATACATGAGAACAGATAAAAACAAGCGAAACCTCTATAACTAAGCCGAAGTATGCTATTTATAACCCACATGTTGTACTCATTTTTTTTTTTTTTTCAATTACATCAGGCCAAAGGCCATATTAAATCAACGAACTACTGCAACTGCGTCTGTAAATCGTCATAATAGAATTAGCCCTATAGCCTTAACTTCCCAAACAACAGTTTGAGTTCTTGAGTAGTCATGATATACCTTTGGGGTAGTTATGATACATAGTTATTCATTAACTTCCACAGATAATATGATGAGCTCTACGGGCGCATTGCACATCGGTCACACATTTAAGTTTCATTCTTCTTAAAGCAACGTTTCTTTGTAGATATTTTGAAGTCTTTTATCGAAGCAGTAGTAATGCAGAAGCAGCACTTTGTATATTTGAACGCTGCAAGAATTTGCAAAAATACAGTGTTTCAAATGTTGTTACTAAGGAAGATCATTTTGCAGTCTGAGAGAAAGGGATCGTTGACAGTTAAATCTAGAAAAAGATGTAAACCTCTTGAAAAACATATAATGGAAGTTGCCACTTCCCTTGTGGCAAGATCATTGGATAATTTTGCTGGTCTTAGCAGGGCAACATGGAGTTACAAGGGAATTGGTTAGGCTAAATTGCAATCAATGTCATAAAATGTCCTGGAAAACGTTATTAAATTTTTTCCATCAATCAGTTGCCAAAAGTTGTAAGAACGAGGGGATTTAGGAAAAACAACAAAATGTTTACTGTTATGTTACTAACAAAAACATAAATTTGGAAAAAAAAATCATTCTCAGATTTGATTTGAGATGAGTTCTACTTTAAATAATTATAAAAAGTCAAAACTGTAGAATTTGATGTTTAGACTTATCTTAAAAGATTCAACAAAATCTAGTATCTTTCCCACACACCACTGTTAAGTGGGAACTTTCACATACGCAAAACGTTCACAATTTTTACTTTTGAAGAAATCTAACCAACAGAACTTGTCCTGTTACATAACAGTGAGATCATAATACGTATACTGACCAGTTTTATCATTCCGTAACTCTAGCAACAAAGATGTAAAATTAGGACAATTTCTATGCTACGTGAAGTACTTCCTCGTGTTGCAGGGCTGACAGAGACACTTTTACAGCAGTACTTCATGGCAGGAGGTTAATTAGTTGTTATTTCCAGTTTCTTGAGTATCTCTCTCGACATCAGTCTATGGAATCTTTGGTTATGGGACTACCGCATGTCGCAGCAATTGCCTAAGAACGCCTAAGTTGACATGTTAATTTTGGCCACACATCAAGGAGTAATTACTTCATCAACAGATAGCTTAAGTAGATTTGTTGGGTTGTGAAAACTTTTATAACAAATTAATTTTTTCCCCTCTGCTATGTACTTTGAGGAAAAGAAAATTATCTTTTACTTCAAAGGTAGTCTTTCTTGTTTTTTCTTACATGTTAAATGCATATGTATGATATGAAATGCAATCCCTTTTGCATAACATGAAATATTCCCCTACAGACAGTTTCTGAAAACTTTTTTCCTTCTCCTCATCATAAATTCTTCTCCCGTATTTAAATTAGCATATAGTCGAAGGAGTAGTAAATATAGTCCTAATACTGCGTCATCCTTGAAGTTACGATACGAAATGATATGCCACTTTTGTATTGGAAAAAAAAAATTACAAACAAGCACAAAATGAATTTAAAAACAAAGATAACTTACTTTTTTGGAATAATTACATGGGAATAAAAATGAGGCTAAAACAATTTTAATATCATTACAGTAGCTTTTACGCTTTTTGTTTGAAAATAATTTGTAAAATGTTCTCAATAATATATATTTAATATTTTGTTTAAAGATCAGAAACGAGATAGTCAAAATGACACCTAAAAACAGTTGAAAACATGACAGAGGGAATAAAAAAATATTTCATTTTTATGATGGTTTTTCCAAGAAACTTAATACGTTTTTGTCATTTTAATGATATTATAATAACATTATCATATTTGTTAAAAAGTCGTCATGAAATTCGCAAATTAGTGTTATCAAATTTTTGCGGTCAAATTTACCTTAAAATCGTCAAAATGTTTATGAATCGCCGAATTTAGCACTTTATAACAAAATAATTGATACTGCAAAATTTTAACGTAATAAAAAAGAATATTCAAACTGCCTCCCCAATGTTTATTAAGGGTCGGCGCTTTAAATACACATACGGCGTCCAATAGCCAAAGCAGCACCTTTTTTGGAGCCTTTTATAAAAAAAGTAAATTTCACGAAAAACGAATTTCAAAATCGTAAAACTTGAAAAATTTTGGTAAAAACTGAGCCATTTTGGGTTTTTTCTGAAATAAAAATTAATGAAGAGTTAATTAGGAGGAGCGAAAAATACACAGTGTCACACAAAAACCAGATGCATAATACTGTGTAAAGCCAATTAAATTTACCTTGAAAGACGATTTGGCTTCTTCAACAGCTTTCTCGATGAAATCGTCTGATATCCTTCGAGAAGGGTGTTCATTAAAGACTGAATTCATTAGAGCTATCTTTGCAGCACTCCGCCTCGCTTCGGCTTTTGTTGGGCAATTCTAAAGCAAAATAAACAGGTGATTAAGTTTTGCAAGGTTTACAACATAATGAGAAAATTAATTGCAACAATTACGTTAAGATGAATTGATAAATTTTACAGCTTATTTTAACTGTTACATTATAAAAGGAAAGGATTATCAATTATCTAAAATACCGATATTATATTTTTAGAATATATCTTCGAGATATACAAATACAACAATAGCAATGAAAGGGTTAAGATTGAAGATAATCCTCACTGACGAAAGTCTTGTATAAATTTCATGTATCAACAATATTAAATATACACCCATCTATATCAAATAATAAAATATCCAATACTGTCAGCCTAAGCCGATTAAGGAGCATTTTATATACAGCATGCATTAGCATTTATATACAGTATGCATAGCATAGAACCTAGATGCATATTGAAGAGGAAGAATTCTGATTGCGTAGCATGTTAAAATATTGGATCAGTAACGACTGACAAACTTGGCAGCCAAGTAAGATTAAATAGTCATTTTTATTTCAATTGACATTTGTGGCCATAATTCAATCATGCCTATTTCCAGAATATTTACATTTTGATAATGTTGCGAGAGAAAGGAAGCAGAATGAAATAGCATCCAAGTGGCACAGAGGGTGCAAAAGTGCGCAGTTATACAATGTGCAAGCTCATCAAGGGAAGGTTTTGGTTTATGTTAGAAAGGTTTCAGTTCTCAAAATTTGGAGTTCAAGTCCTGACACGTCATTACCGTTACGGCAGCCATGTGACAAAGATTAATCTAGAAATGGCACAGTCCAGAAAAATTATTTCTATTTTTAGACTGCAAAGAGGAAATACCCAAATTAAAAATGAGGAATTAAGATTCTATATCAAAACATTTAATATTTACTATAGCAATGCTCAAAAACCCTATTTTTAATCCTATTCTATAATAATTTTTCGAAATTACTTCATTCGCGTAAACATTCTTAGCCACAATTCAAAATTTTAACGTAAATTAAAATTATAATTATTTACTTTATAATCTTCCCTAAAAGTAGTTTAAAAAATCTCAAAATTCTTCACGCAAGTAATCAACTTAATTATAATTAAATATTTAGATAATATGAATTTTTTTTAAAAATTATTTTCTTCGTATTTATATGAATATTTATGTTGAATTCAAGGAGTATGCTCAAGTTGCTGGCCGTCTTCCTATCTTGAAAATCTTAGCCGATATTTTCAAGATTCTGCGGAATAACTTTTCTGCTCCCTTTTTCCCTGCTTATCGAATATCGGCTACATAAGCTTAAGATCAAAATCTGGAAATAAAGTCTGCGGCCCATTTTTAGAACACGTGTCAAGTCATTAGGCTTTTCGAAGCAGGAAATATGAAAAAATGTGCAATGCCCTCGCCGGGATTCAAACTCCGGACCTTCCCGTTTGGTAACCAAACGTACTTTCCAGTTATACCTTACTTTCCTACTGGGCTGGGGAGGAAAGGACTGGGAAGGAAAGAACCGAATCGCCAAATCCTGGTGGTGATGAATTGTCGTCCACCGAGTCAGTTAAGCTTTCAGAAGCAGGAAACATGAAAAATCTGCAATGCCCTCAAAGGGCTTCGAACTTTGTTTCCAATTGCTAGCTTGACCAGTTTTTCAGTTATACCAAGGAGGTACGCGGTAAGGAGGGAGGAAATTCCTTATCCACTCTCTACAGACATTTTAATAGCAGGACATTTTACATTCCTCTCTCTACAGACATTTACAGACATTTTAATTAAGGACATTTAAGAACTCTCTACAGACATTTTAATTTTAAGTCTAGGGCAGTGATGGCGAACTTTTTTGAGGCCACGTGCCATTCCGTTTAAAATATTAAATTAGAATCCTTCATAAATCACCTCAAAATGCTTAGATCTGAAAACTGAAATCTATTTAGCAATGAAAGTATTAAAACTCACCGACAGTCTGCAATAAATTTGAATTCGTTTAGCAAACATTAGCTTCTTCAACTTAAGCGCATTCGTCTTAGGTCCTATGCCAGGGGCATTATGCGATAAGTAAGTGAAACGTTCTAGAACAGACTGAAACACTTATTTAAACTACATAGTATCATTTTATTGTGATTATAGATTAAGGAAGTAATATTTTAGTCGCCTGCCGGCTGACAAGGCTCTGCGTGTCGACTGTGGCCACGCGTGCCATAGGTTCGCCATCTCTGGTCTACGGTATGAATTTTTTTCCAGGTTTTAGTTCTTTTTCTTCTTAGCAGAAGAACTGCTGAAAGCAGAACTAAAGTAATCTTAGTTAACATAGTCCTATGGTTAAAGCATAACCACAGGACGAGAATCTGAAGCCGAAAGAAGGGGATTTAAGTTTAGTCACGTGACTCTTTCTCCGCTCTTAGTGGTCTTAAATGGAAAAGATCGCTTAGTTCTAGTTGTTTTTAACACGAAAAATGTGTTTTGTTAATATGTAATTTATTACATATTGAATACACTATCCCAGGATCAATTTATATCCCAAAGAGATGAAGAAGGACAAAATTTGCTAAGAATTTATATATTAAGAATTACACACACACACGCGCGCAGTATATAAACTTAATTTTTCCATCCTCTGAAATTCTAATAAATAACAAACAGGGAAAAGTATTCATCATATTACAATTTTTGTGTTATGTTGCAGTACAGTCGCGTCGACAGATTTTTAACACCCGAGGTAAACATAAAATTGCGTTCTAAATAAAAATTGCGTGATATTTCTTTAATCACTTTTGTATTTATTTAGTTAAAAATGTTTTAATTTTCCCCCAACTGTAACTCATTTTTTTTTCAAACGCGAGCGTTTTATTAACTCAAACTTCTGCTGCCATCAACATATATACATACCAGAAATTTGTAATTTTTGTTCTTTTCTTATTTGTTCAAATCTCGGGTGAGATGGAAAATTTTAAAATGTTTAAAAAAATTAAAATGAAAGTTGATACCTAATAGTACTTAACTACAAACCTGCTATTTTATAGTTAAATATTAAAAATACTAAGTATCAATTATGATTTTCAAACGATGCAAGTCGCACTGAAATATTTAAATAGAAATCGATGTTCATTTCAGGCCCCCTATTGGCAAAAATTCAAGCTTGAACTGAATGGTATTAATAACACACACAAAATGCGATCTGAAAATAAAAGTTTATATCTAATAGTACTTAATTAATTCCAGTTCGCAATTAAGTGCTTTAAAGTATCAGATCTTGTTTATCACAGGACGCAAACATTAACTGCCTCATTAAAACATTTAAATACCAGCTGATGTTTATTTTAGACCTTTAGTTGACAAAAGCCCACGTTACACGCAGCGCAATTTATGGTCGACATATCACCAAAGATTGCTTATCCACATGTACAACGTTACTGCTCGCTGTTCAAATACACGGTTCTCTCCTCTGTGAAAACATTGGGTAATGTGGTGATGCTACTAGTTGAGATCCTGCCCACAAATGAGACGCTTCCGATATACACAGAAAGCGCATCTTTTCACTTACTAATTGGACTACCCTTTCTTTCCTAGACGTGGACTAATGTTGTACCCCTGAGGCTCTTAGGTCGTTATTACACAGTCTAATACCCTTCTTTCCCCGAGACAGGTTGAGGAGTGTAAATGAAGTGCCTGAAAGACCAACTCCGTTTATCATGTAGGAAGAGATTGGACCGGCTGATCGCGGTCAGAGGTATGATCCTGTAAGATGGTTATAGTCACTTCTGGGAGTGTTCGATCGGCGGGTTAGAAAACACGGCAATACCCTTCTTTCGAGCTCGCCCCTTTGCTTTACTATTAAGAATACTAATGGCCGTCTGATGCTAAAATTTCGAATAATCGTATGATTAATTTGATTGCTCCTTTCTCCTTTTGTGCATTCAAACATCATTTGTTTCGATTTTTGTTTCAGTTCTTAGGCATATGCATTAACTTTACTAAGAAGAATTAAATTTGAAAATGTCGGGAGTATGATTCTTTTTATTTAACATACTTTGACTTTCTCTGAGAACGTAAACTAGCATCAAAATCCTAACAGACGTTAAACGAATCATAGCTGTGTCTGAAGTTATCGACAGAGATTTGAGAATATTTAAATAACCTTTTCATTAAATCAGAGCTTGAACATAAAAGCACGTCTCCTGCGTAACAAAACCACCACCACTGCTGGCGATGAAAGTAGCAAACTTATAAGTAACAGCATATGTCCTACATTATAGCAAAACAGGCACTTTTTTAGACAGGTGTTTATGAAATCAACGCTTGTTTATAAAAAAATGTCTGTGTCTTATAGGTCATATGCTGCTGAAACTTAAATAACAGTCAGAATTTAAATTAAAACGTAGACTAGTAGTCAAAGACTACACAAGTAAATTTAAACTGAAGTTGACTCGAAACTCTAACCGGCGTAACAGTTTAAATGAAGGCAGCTAATGACGGAAAGCCGAATAATTACAAACTTATCAGAGCTGGTAAATCTCAGAACGTGGCCTCGAGAGGCAGAAACACGCTCTGTCATATAATTCCCAAACCTCAGTTTAAATGCTTTTTTTTTTGCACCAGATCATTCGTGATTAATGAGCAGGCGTTTTAACCCACGTTCATTCAACTTACGTGAACTAGTTGCACGATTTCCTCTCGTATTTTGCCTTATGTAATGAGCATCGCTTAGAATTGAAACAGCTCATTCATAATTTAGTCTTTATATAGTTTATTACCAACTAAATCTTAGACAGTTATATTATCAACTAAATCTTTGAGAAAAGCAATTAATTATTTTATTCCTAAAAATCACCCCACCAAAAAGTATCTCCTCCTTTTCGTCAATAAATAGGGTAAAGTCGATTCAGTTCAAAAGATCTGCCATCGTAAATTATGATTTGGGGGTTCTTTCCGTTTTAACATCACATTTTACATTCTAAGACTATTTTTAAAATGTATAGTATAATTTACAAGTATAGCACACAGCACTGCTCACGATCAAGGAACAA